TGACTAAGAATTTCATTACACCAAATACACAAAATAATGTTCTTTTTAGCAGCATCATATGACCCCTTTAAAGCTTAATAACAGCAAAACTGCCCAGTTAATATTTCCACCCAAGTGAAAAGTCTTGGTTTTGTATTTGATGGTTTGATTTCTTTTGATTCTCATTTTAATAATATTTGATGTACTGCATTTTTTAATTTATGTAACATTGCTAGACTCTGGTCACCACTTTCTTAGCATAGCACTGACGGCCTCATTCATGCTTTGGTAACATCTTGGATTGATTATTTTAACTCTTTTTTTTTTTTTGGTGTTCCTGAAAAACAACTTAACCGATTACAGTTAATTTCAGGTTAAGTTCTTTTGGTGTTAGGGCCTTTAATTGTGCAGCACTAAAAATTATGGATTTTTTTGTTTTTGTTTATTTTTACCATGCATATCGCCTGCTGGATTCTATTTCCCAGGTTAAAACTCTGATTAAAACTTATTTGTTTGTATTTTATTGATTTTGATTGCTTGATTTGTATGTTTGTGTTTTTGTATTGATTGTATTTTATTGATTTTGCTGTAAAGTGTCCTTGAGTGCCTAAAAAGGTGCCTATAAATAAAAGTTTATTTCCTTTTACCCACTTTTAGTGACTAGTTATCAGTTCAGTGCTGCTAAAAAGAGTTGGCAAAAACTGCCATCATAGGATTATAGCCTACAGTCCATGATATTGGCTTACTTCATGTCAGAGTAACTACTATGTCCAAAAGTTATTTTTGAGAAACTTGTAGATCAGTGCTGACTCAAGCCGTGAACTGTTGCAGACAATTCAGACCGATTTGGTGAACTAGTTCAACAGAAGAATTTGTTCACAAACATCACTAAGCTGAACCAGACATGTTGGATGAAAGCTTTTTCAAAGGTCAGCTGTACAAAAGCAACATATTCTGTGACAGAAGAAAAAGCAGGTACAAGTGAAACACTGTCTTTTGGGACTTATCCTCAGTGTTTGTAAGCTGTTTTCACTGTAGACCTCATTACAGCTCACAGGTCATTACAACATGTCATTTGTTCAGTCTTTCCCTTGTTAACAGTTGGCAGTTAGCTAATGCCTCAGTCACACTGATTGCTTTCCAAACAAACATGTTTATTACCAATTAAAAGGCTAAATAGAGGGTCTGTTTTAATAATTAATGGCAGTGTTAATTACTTTCATCAAACCTAATGAGCCACCAAGGCTTTAAAGCCATTCCACAGGTAAACAGCTAAGTGAATCACATGGGATGAGGCTACAGTTTGAATGGCATATTACCTAATAAAGACTTTGTAGAGTTGTTCTGAAAAGAGCATGATGTGTTTATGAAGTCACTTGAAAAACTGCATTGTATCAAATGAGTCTAACTATTCTATTGTGTTTACAAACATTAGATGTTTCCTTATGTGGCTTACCAGATATGATCATGATTTATCACTCAATCTGTAGGCCTATTATCTATCCTGCGGTTGTTTCCTCATATTTCATCAGCAATATAATATTTGCATTATAGAGAACTTAAAATTGTCACCCTTCAAAACCAATAACTGCATTGATAATTGACTTTAGAAATCAATGGTGCAATAGTGCCCATAAAAGATATCAGTGGCAATCGGTGAAAAAAAAAAAAAAAAGATCCCTGTAATTGGAAATTATGTTTCTCAAAGCAATTATTTATAAATCTTTTGCAATGAATTCACTTTCTTTTTTCCCCATGAGTATGTTAAGCAAATTGTCGTTGAAAAGATGTGCTTAACCAACTTCTGACATCAAATTATATATTATATAAGCTATTAATAGTTTATATTATTTTTAATTTCTATATTTTATTAAAAAAACTATTATATAAGTGGTTTTATTTGCTATTTGCTTTGTAATTTTTCAACTCTGTTAAGTTATCTGAACATGAATTAAAACGGTCAATTTTATTTTACATTTACAATGAACATCAAATAAACAGCTATATTAAAAAAAAAAACTTTTGCAAATTTAGCTCAAATGAAGTTGTCACTGAGTAATTGCTACTAGTTTATAATCAAATTTTATTAGGAGTTAAACATATTTTTTATAAAAATGTTTGAGCAGTATTTCTTCCAACAATTCTTCCAACAGGGTTGACAAGGTTGACTAGCTTTTCATTTTAGGTTATTGATTTTATTTAAGATTATTTTATCTAACAAATAAGTTCTAACATCTAATAACAACCAAGCAAAAACATGGTAATTTATCTCCAATATTTACTAAAATATCCATCATGGGAAACCATAGGCTATCATACACTGAACGACATCCGTTTTCATTTTACTACTTACAAAGAAATGACAAGTAACATGCTGAAGTTTTTGTAGTAGAAAGACTGAAATAACATTTTCTTGTACAACATACTCCAATAATCTTTGTTTTATTTACAATTTTATTATTATTGTTTTTTTTGTTTTTTAAGTCTATTTAAAAGTAGTTCACATTCAGGTCTTAATGGGAAATGTTATTGTTGTTAATTCATTTAATTTATTCACCATCTTTCATATATGTCACAATGTTTATTTGAATGAACAATCTATTGACATTTTGCTTTGGATTTGCTATAAAACAGTTTGGACTAAAATTCACCTCTGTGGTGTCCATTGGTATCGGTAGACTGTCTAGACTGTAAGGACTAGTGTAACTGGGGAAATAAAGGCAATGATGTAACTTCATGAGAAATACAGTATGTATCCTATTAAGAAATAGATTGGAAATCTACGTTAATGTCGGTTTTAGTACATCAAGCTGCCACTAGAGGGCGTAATCACCAAATACATCTATAGAGGCCCTTAAACCCAACATTCCTGTAGCCTACTATTAATAAAACAAAAATCATCATATCCCCCGCCCCATCCCTTGCTAAAAAAAGGAACAGTTCTCACACAGAAAGCGACGAACGGTGAAGAAATACTCTCAGTCTCATGACATTTCTGTTACAAGTTTATTTTAGAACACTGACGTATACAGAGATGTGTCTGAACCCACATAGAGAAGGGAAAAGGAATCTACACCTCTATCTGCAGCATCAAATTCACTACACAGTGCTTCAAAACAGCATCTCTATGCTGAAACAAAGAGAAGAATAAAAACCCTACAAGGCTATAATACAAAATGTATGCACAAAACAAAGTAACAATAATTGGGCACCTTTTAAAAGTTACACAAAGAACTGGTGCTGAGGTAGACAATACAATAAAATAAAACACAACGAATGTAAAACCATTTCGACACCAAGAACACGGTCTTGTCACTAGAACAAGGCAAATGGAGCGAAAATAGCCGTTTGGTCCCACGTGGATCCTCAGTCCGAGTATTAATTTGTGTAACAATGGCACAAATATGGGCGCACTGAGTGACATGGCTACTTCCTGTCTGAAAGCAAAGTAAAACACAGTGATACAGCGGCAGGGATGCCAAGTTTTCACTTAAATGCTGACCTGTAGATTTATTGCTTGTGGCGACCGAAAAAGAGGTTACAAAACTAAACGTAGTATCCATAATGACAAGGAAAGTGTAGGTGTTTATCCTAAAATTGATATCTATGATGTTCCGTGAGTAAAGTGAAGGCATCCCTGACTGCCTAAGAGCACAGTTCATATCAAGGTGACTTTGCATAAAGACACAAATACAGGGCAGATGGTGTATCAAATCATTTACAGGGTGTCTGTCAGAGCACCTCTTTGTTGCTAACTGGTGCATGTATTTAACACTGAAGAAGTCGACCACATTGACGCACACTGCACACACAAGGACCAGTACAGACCGTATAGGTGACTCTAATCTTACAGTGAGCGGTGAACACGATACAAACACACAGATACAGCTTTACTTTTCATGTCTTACAGGTCGCTTGTGCTCCTTGACCTACAGCTCTTGGCATTAGTTCACTTACAGTCATTTTATACTCGAAATGTGGAATCATCATCATCATCATCATCATCATATGAACTGACACCCAGCAGCAATGACTACAATACGTTTTTACAAACATCTACTACTTGTATATGTTTAACATTGTAAAATAAGCACAAGAAAACAATTTTCCACGCAAATCAAGAACAAGCACAAATGCAAAAGATACTGTAAAAATATTCGCCTCACTCAAAAAGAAAAAAAAAGAACAGGGGTCGCACAATACCCCGTACAAAAATACAACATATTCCCTTATCAAAGTGCCGCGTTTGGCTCTTGTCGAGAGATTTATTTTCACAGAAAATCACCTATTTGTTTTTGTTTTCTCTAGCGAACTTTTCCACGTAACTGCACGCATCTCTGATGACTTACCGCTTGAATAATTTTCACATAAAACCATCATTTTTATTCACATTGTTTCAAGTTTATCCCCTCAAGTATCTAATAACTAAACATTTTCTCAACGCTATTCTAAAATCATCTAGAATGTATGCATCTACCCTTTCAGGATGAATACGTTTTATCGTAAGGAGTGTAAATATAATGATGAACGAACCGAGTTGTTGTTTTTTTATTAGTGAATGGAAACATAAGAGTGGGTGTAAATGAAAATGCTAGTTACAAGCAAAACAAAAGTGTGCTTTTGCTTTAGTGCCAAACTGAGAGCAGAGTAGAGGTAGCCCTGAAACTGATGGCCGAGAGGCAGATATGCACACTAGTACTATGCTTAACACTAAAATACCACTGAATAATTCACAGACCCAGACGGAATCAGCATTTAAGATGTGGTCACATTAGCAAATTTCAGAATCGTTTCATAAGCAAAAAAGGTCCATTGTCAATATTGTAGTGATGGGTGAATTTTATATGAATGCATATGTTACTTATATGAAAACGTATGATTTTTAGAGAATAAACGTAAGCATGAAGCGGTGAAAGAGACACGAGTTAATCTGATAGCGTTGCATTCAACCCTGCACCAAAGCCGTCTCTCATCGTGTCGCTGGTTAGCCTCTGGTTTGCTGGTTGTGGCTTTGGAGAGTGATTTGCAGGGAGGGTGGGATCTTATGCATTAAAAGCTAGCTTGCTATTGCTAGCCTCTCCGAAATCACCTACCCACCTTTAAACTCGTTGTGAAATCTGTGCAATTGGTAATGTTCTCTCTCATATGAAATTCCTGATCATTTGGATTTTTTTTTTGAAGTGACTGGATTTCCAAACTGATCTCATGAGAAAAGGTAACTCTTTTACGAGGTGGCAATTTTGCATGAATGCGTATGATGTGATTCATAAGAAAATGTGCAATTTAAAAAATATATGAATTTGAACCTGTTGCGAAATCTGCGAAAATGGAAATCTTTCGCCCTCATGTAAAATTCCTGATCATGTTGATTCCTATTGAAATGACTGGATTTCGAACCTGATCTCATGAGAAAAGGTAACTATTTAACGAGGTGGTGATTTCGTATGAATGCGTATGATGTGATTCATATGAAAATTGAACCTGTTGCGAAATCTGCGAAAATGGAAATCTTTCGCCCTCATGTAAAATTCCTGATCATGTTGATTCCTATTGAAATGACTGGATTTCTAACCTGATCTCATGAGAAAAGGTAACTATTTTACAAAGTGGTGATTTCGTATTAATACGTATGATGTGATTCATATGAAAATGTGCGATTTGTTTTTAAAAATGACGATTTTGAACCTGTTGCGAAATCTGCAAAAATGGAAATCTTCCGCTCTTATGCAAAATTTCTGAAAATGTTGATTCCTATTGAAAAGACTGGATTTCCAACCTGATCTCATGAGAAAACGTAACTATTTTATGAGGAGGTGATTTTGTATGAATTTGTACAATTTGATTGGTGCAGAAATGGATGATTTTTTGAAAAATACGTAAGCATGAAGGTCCACCCCTAAACTTAAACGTCAATGGGGCGTAAGCAGAGCGTTCAAAAAGTATAAATGAGATTGTACAAATTTACACCAATTGGTCACCAATTTGCCAAAACATAAAATAGTTAAGTATTGCCATGTGTTAGTATTGCGATTTTGCCCGTTGAAATTCGCCAAACAAAAAGGCAAATGTGACCACAACTTTACAATTTTTTTAGTAGTGCAGAATACATTTAAACATAGTAAAATGCCTTAAATGTAAAGTACTACAGTCTTATTGATAGATAAAACATTTACCAATTAACCAAAACATAAACACATAAGGGGCAGCAGATATATAGAACGTTGCGAACAAACGTTCCAATTTTCTCTTAAATTTCTCTCTGATTCCGTGTGGGCCTGATGATGTGGCATTCTAAATGCATTGTACAGCTCTTAAACAAAGCTCAGCAGGAAATGAGAGACAAAGACTAGTACAAAAATAAATCTAGCATGTGAGGTAACAAAATTAGGCAATTCAAGTAAAACGTTCGAACAGAGATGACAGAACACAAACTACAACGGCGAGCTAACTACAGGTATCCTCAGCAGAAGACTGCAGAAACATATACTGCATTGCGGTTTTTAAATGTAAAAAATAATCTCTTTTTAATTCATAATTTGATTTATGAGTACGATATTAACATTTCATTAGACTAAAATACCTGCAGTTGCAAAACTGTGATTGCGTCATGTTACCATGTGAACATAAAAAAAGAAATCAACTGATATGCTGTACTATTTGGTGTGAAAGTGACTGAAATGAAAGCAGATCGCAGAGATTCACCTCTCTGGCTTCGTCTGAATGCACTAAATGCAGAAATGGTGCTGAAAACAACAAAAACACGGGCCTCTGAAACTCTGAAAGTGCACAGTGTAGTTATTTAAGGTTGAATACATGTCCCTGAACATCCACTACAGTTGCTTGGCAGCACAATTTGGATGTACCACTGAGAAAAGCTGTTTTGTTAAGCACTTTATTACGCTTTAAAGAAAATGACTAATGGGTCCAACCCTGTGCATTTCCTCGCATGCGTTTATAAAAAAAAACATGAAAATTGAGGACTAGAGAGCCTAATAATGAACTTAAGGGAGCAATTTACTAAAAAAAGGGCATAATTTCATTCACTAATGTGTTTAGCTCCTCTGTTTCATCGTGTGTGTAAGTTTTCAGCTTTGGTCCATGTTTTTATTTGACTCAGAATAGCTCCATTAAGACTCCATGAAATCAAAATAGGAGACTTTGAGTCCATGTGTGTTAGCTTTGAGGTTGCTAGCGTATTCTAAACATTGACCTTTAACGGATATACATTTAAAATTATGGTTTTGATGTAACTAAAGCCTACTGGATAATCCCTGACAGATTTCATGGGGTCTTAAAAATCTATGGCTTATGTGTTGTCCATGGAGATAAAAAAAATTACGGGAATCCTTATTTGAGTAAAACATTACAAGTATGACCATGCAGTAAATTCCTCCGATCAACAGGGTGGAATGCAGACAAATGGATTCTCGTCATAGTGGTGGACTGTACTACTAACACTTTCTCAAAATTCACATCCCTTTATCACATATAACATTTCCATTTCATAAACATTTGCTAGTGCAGTTACATCCTAAAAATGTGCACAAATGCATGTCACAAACGAAAGGTAAAAAAAATCCACATCACATTTCATCACTTTGACCACGCCCCCTCACCATCTTTGGCCTGGACCAAAAGCAAACCTTCAGGTGAATTGTTCTTGGGTGCATCTTGCCACTTTCTCATTCGGTTTTGTCGGCCCATCTCACACATAGCAGAGGTACAGGTAGGTCTTCTCTATCCTCCAGTCTGGGGGCACGTCCTCGGGCTTGTGGGCCTTTATGTGCTTCTGCATGGACGAGAGGCTGGGGCAGTACTCCTGGCAGATGGTGCACTGGTAGGGAGAAGCGCCGTTGTGGGTACGCAGGTGTTTGATCATGGCGGAGTAGTCCCGAGAGCGCTGGTGGCACAGCTTGCACTCAAACGGCTTCTCACCTGTGGAGAACAAGTACAGAACATTTCAAACTACAAATAATGTGAAAATGACAGAAACAGCTGTGTTGATTAAAGACGGCATGAAATTGGAATCACAGCTCATTTTACTTCCATGATATGATGGATAATGTTCGAATTTATTCCAGGGTGATTATTTTTAACTAAAAGTAAAACAAAAATCATAAAAAAGATTCTCGTTGCTTAAAATAAACATTAACAGTAAAAATAAATAAAATAAATTGTAACTGAAAAAAAATATATATATATATTAAACATGACAAAAATACACAACAAATTACTTCATTTATTTCATTACGTAAATGTTAAATGTATATAAACTAGTAACTATATATGAAATAATGAAATGATAAATATTAGTAAAACTAATTAAAATGAAAAGTAATTCAAAATAAAATCAGAAATTCAAAATACAACTAATAAAAACTATTCCCAAAAGAAGGAAAACTATATAATAGTATAACAGTGATATTGAAATAAAATAACTAAATATAAACTAATAACTATATATAAAATAAAAATAATGAAATTATAAAAACACAGCAAAACGAGTACAACTAATTAAAAACGAATTAAAAATAAAAACAGAAAATATATCAAATCTAATTCAAAATACAACTAATAAAAGCTATTACATTCACAATAAAAACTAAGAATTTAATTCTTGAAAAGAAAACCTTTTAAGCAGTTCCCTTTATGTACCATTTCTTAGAAAATGTTAAAATAAATTGAATAAAAATAAAAATATATGAAACAGCCTCACTGCTTATTATTATTTAAAAAAAAAAAAAAAGATTTGTCTGTTAAAGTCAAGAAATTATATCGCAGAGAAACCCCTGCAGACACTCAAAACTGTGACAAGGTCAAAAAGACTCTTAAAATATCAGACAATTTGACCTTTTTGTTTTAATTAATAATTCATGATATTTGTAAAACATAATTTTTACCTTGAAAAATATATTTAAAATCTTAATAACTGAAAAAATAAATGATGGTCGATGTAAAAAAAGACTGTCCGGTACTGATGAAAGATTATCATGACAGCAACAGGTTCAAGATTTCCCATACTAGCTCTGCTTCCTGTCTGATAAGGTGGAGTTAAGCTGCCACCTGCTGTCCAGGATGGGAACGACAGATGTGTAGATCCGTGGGTGTGCGGCCTGCCACTGAGCACAGCAAACCAAGTATTGATCCGCCATTGACAGCAAGTGTAAATGTCAGTGATTCTCCAGCTGGTTGTGTGAAGGAGCAGTGGCCTTTCAGCCAAGAGTTTCTGCTCTTGTTATCTTCACCTGCCCGGTCTCGTGGCCGCAGCCCCGCTTGACACAAAGACAGCAATTATTTGACAGGCCTGCTGATAGGTTTGCTTTAGCAGCTACCTTATTGAGGGCCAGAGAGCAGCAGCAATCAGCCTGTAATTCCAGCTCAGCCGAAAGATTTAATATGCCACCGTGGCGAGACCACGACAGAACAAAATAGATACAAGGAATTTAATCTAGCGTGGACCTGAAAATGTCAAGATCTGAATTCTTCCGTGTAAAACTGCGGCCTTGTAGCGTAATACAATTCATTTATCATCTTATAAAGCTGTTGCCTTGTTTTATTATATCATATTTGCTAGAAGGTACCACGCTGGCTCAGCCGTGTCAAAGATCTCCAACCTGGAAGAGCAGGTCAATGTGTTCCCGGTGTGTATCTATTAACCTGTGAGCTTCTACGGCTTTGGGAATCACTGCTGAAGTGAGGTGAGAATGTGGCTGACCTGTGTGGATGCGGTAGTGGGTCTCCAGCTGGTGCTTGAGGCTGAACCTCTTGCCGCAGCCGTTACATTCATAAGGCTTCTCTCCGGTGTGGATGCGCTTGTGACCCTTCAGAGTGCTCTCGTCACGGAAGCAGCTCCCGCAGAACTCGCACTCGAACGGGTGGTCACCTGCCGTGCAGAGAGACAACGATAAAGTTCTTAATCTGAATGCATTTTTAACTGGGAGATTCTAGAAAGCATTTGATTGGAGAACAAGCAGTTTCCCGCACTGCTTTTCAGTAGAAGAGAATGGGAATGAATAATACATAAAACAGAGAGCGGGACCAGTGTAGTGTGATTCACGAACAAATGACTCGCATGAGCCAGTTCTTTTTAGTGAATCACAACCATACTGTGCTACCAGTGTAGTCTGATTCAGGAACAAATGATGCTTATGAGTCGGTTCTTTCTGATGAATCCAAAACACACAGCACCACAGCCCCTTCTTTTTATAGGCATTATTTTGATTATCACTTTACTTTATTACTGTAATTGCATTTTTCCCTTTCTTTTGTTTCATGGTCCTGGGAAGATCAAAGACTTTGTTGTTGTATATAACTTTTTTTAAACTTTGTCATGTTTTTGTGCTGGCAAATAAAATAGGTTTATCAAAACAAAACAAAACAAAAAAACAAAACAAAACAAAACAAATGCAAAAACGGACAGTAATCAAATAAATTAAAATAAAATAAAATAAAAAGATTGAGTCTGAATTACTGTACTGAATAATTTATTTAGAATTAGCAATTTAGAATTTAGAATTAGCAAGATTTAATTTCTTATGCAAAAATGGACAATAATCAAATAAATCAGAACTAAATCAAATTGATCAGTGTTAGTGTTATTTTAGCATTAATTATATACTATTATAATCTTCATTAATATTTTGAATGATCTTATACACACACGTATATGTAAACTAAATGCAAAATAACTCAATATTACATATATTTTATTTATAATTTATTTATTTTAGTTTAAGTTTTAATAATTATTTATGCTTTTGTAATTTTTTTGTTTCATTTGTATTTATTTCAGTAGTAGTTTTAGTAATTTTAGAACTTTAAACATATTTTATTTCATTTAGCTGCCAAGGCAACGGCACATTTTTAATGTAAGTTTACTTTTTTTAAAACATTTTTATCTAGTATTGAAATTGTATTTTATTTAAATAATTTCACTTATTTCAAATAATAAAAATATTTTTAATATTTTTATTTTCAAAAAGTTTAAGAATAACAAATTTAATCAAATAGGAATCACATCAAATTGAATCAAATCAAAAGCTTCCTATACACTAGAATTGAACTGAATCTTTATCAATACCCAGCTCTATGTGTACATGGTTTCTAGCTGGTTAAAGCTGGTCATTAGTTGTTCCAAATTGGTTTAGTTGGTTGACTAGTTGCACTCCAAGCCGGTGGGGTCTTAAGGCAACCTGTTTGAACTGGTTAACCACATTTCAAAGCATAACTTAAAAAAAACATAACTTAGTCTGGTTGGACTTGAATTTTCCAGTCAATCCCTATTAAACAATAAGACTAACATTTCCTTAGTGATCACAAAGAACTGTTGTATCGGCACAGCTTGTAAATAAAAACAGGCAGAGAGTTGTGCTCAGATGACAGAGTTATTAATATCGAGTAAACATCACAAGGTGCTGAAAGGGAATCATCCAGCACATTTCTCTCCGCCGGCTGTTCTAATGTCAGTGATCAGTACGAGTCTTGATATGTAGTGATTTCAAATGCCGGCCGATTGCTAATTGCTTTCCCGCTCTGACTAACAGCCCCTCATATCATTTCCTCAGACAGCAGCGGCATATAACACTCGCAATATTTAATACATTTCAGCCCGGGTGGCGTGGTTTTAAAGTCATCGGCGGTGACCTATGCTCTTCATTATCTCCCTGTCCAAGTGCTAGCCGTGCTCGGGAATAAATTGCATCTCTTGTTATGTTCCGTCATGCTCCGACTTAAACCCTCCTCTTAAGAGACAATGCAGAAATTCCCCGAGCACGTTCTCTAAGCCAATCACAACCCGCCATTCACATTCAAATACACTTCTGCCGGAGATGAATGGGTTTCTATCTGGGCTGAGAGAAAAATAAAAGCAGACTGGTAGAGATGAGATCCCTAGTGAACAGATATGAGATGATAGATAGAGTGGCAGTCTTTATGCATCTGTATCAACTTATCCGATGCACCTTCTGAAAGCCCTCCAGCCTGTCTGTCATTAAAGTTAATTGCCCAGAGGCGGGCAGCAGGCAGGCCAGACTCACAACACCACAGGCATGCTAATGCGCTAACGCCGTCTACTGCGTGTGCATTCTGAACACGTCACTGACTACACATTGGAGGAAATATCCACAGGTATCAGCTTCGGTGCGTTTCCACGTTTGAAAGTCTATTATTGTGCAGACAATGTCGAACTGGAAGTTAAACGCGGTGTCAAACGCACAAGAAAGTGTTTATTGACGATGCTACATTTTAGCTTACAGTGAGTTTTACATAAGCATTGTTAAATATTGAATAAGCCTGACAAAATGGCTTGAAAGTCAAGGCCGAACGACCTGCAGAGACTGTCTGTGCCATAAGCAATGTGAGCTTTGTGCTCTGTACCATCAAACACAGCTGTGAACATATAGACAGCCGCCACTGTCTGCAAATGGCCTGGCAGTGAAATGGAGAGCGAACAGGAATGGCATATTAATGAGAACAAGCTACATGTGCAGAATGAAGAGAGGAGCAACTGGAGACGCACGCAGCCCATTGTTTGATTTGCCTCTCGCATTGTAATTACAATGCAGATGGTATGAAATATACAGGTGGATGTTGCAGGAGCCCAGGTATTACTTGTTTACATCTAAGGGTCTTTTTATTTATTAGTTATGATTTTGTTGTTGCGTCATGAAATATTTTAGCTGGAAAGACTAGTAGAGCTGATGATTTATGCTGGTTAGTGCTGGTAGATCAATATCAATGTTGTTTACCAGCCAAATGCTGTTTTTTTTTCTGATGACGCTGACTAACCAACGAGAGGATTTTGGTTAAGTTAGTTAAGAAGCCGGGTAGATGCTACACTCTTATAAATAAAGGTTCTTTATTCACATTGATGGTTCCATGAACAACCTTTAACATACATGGAATCTTTCCATACAAAAGGTTCTGTATAGTGGAAGAAGTTCTTTAGATTTGTACAGTGTTCAAAACATGGTTCTATGAAGAACTGTTTACTGAAAGAGTCTTTGGGGAACCAAAATTGGTTCTTTTATGGCATTGCTGCAAAAACTATTATTTGGAACATAATAGCATCCAAAACACAACATATACTGACATGAACAGTTGTACGCTAATTGGATTTACACCTACATCTCAACAAGATCTTTTTAATTTCATGCTTTTTAAATAGCATTTTCGATTAAATAGAGAGCAAATTGTGACCTAAAAAATAAGTCAGAGACCTTCAATATGAAATATTTCTCATTAAATTCTTCCAAAATTGATGTCTGTTTTCCACATAAATGTTATAGCTCTTACTGTATGCAACAGTTGTCTAATTTCTTTCTGCTTTTTATTTTTAGGATAAACATCTTAAGACTGTTTATGTAAATGAAGTGCACCTTAGATCATCAGTGAGTTTCCTAGGCTTTGAAAGGATTTCTAAATTGTCAAAATGATAGGCTTTTTGCTTTGTTTTCCTATTGATATGTTCTCTACAGTTCTTACACATTATATGTATGCATATTTGCATTGCTTTGACCGTTCTCTGTAGATCCCATCGTATTGCACATCACGACTAGTCGATTATGTACAATGCCTGTATGTTATTGGTCAGACTACTTTTCAGGTATTACCTTAAACAAGTATGAAATCAATAGGAAAACCAAGGCAAAACCTGGACATTTTTGACAATTTAGAAATGAACTCTTGAGATGCGGTCCAAACACCACAATTTCAGTAAGGTTATACTCACGTCTGCAAGCTGTTTAAAACCTCCTGCAATTCAAGTACAGAGAAATCAGATTTTGCTTGTTGAAATAGCTACAGAAGTTGACATTTACTCAGACTCCGTTAGGAACGTCAGAATGTCTTTTCAGATGTTGTTCTGGAAAAACTCATGTACCCTGCAGTCTATGGCGAGATGGAGTGCATACGTAATGCCTCGACTCTTTAAAAAAACAACCTCATTTCATTTCTGGCCCCTCTTATCAAAAATTTACATGTTGAATCTAGACTTCAACTGCCTCTGACAATCTTACTGGTATTTCAGGTCAGACAGAGAGAGCAAAAGTGAGAGAAATATGCACTCTTGCAAGTAAATGGAGTAGGGGCAATTTGGTGCTCTTTCTGTTCACTGCCAGACCAGACAGATTCAATCATCGCTGTTTGCCTAGTTATGAAGGAAAAACAGAGATAACTGTTAAACATGCTTGTACAAAGTACACTGATATAGTCTGTTCTAACAAATTGTAATGGATGTTGATTTATATTTATTCAATTTCTAGCTAATATTTGCTTGAGCATGCTTATATTTTGTAATCCTACCTGTTGCACTGAAAATAATCTCAGTGCCACCTTACCAAACATCCTTCTTCCACCTAAATTTCCTCTTTTTGTCATCGTTATTGGGTCATTTGATAATTCAATTCTCACACTCAGAAATTCTCATAATGTAGAATGGTAAAAAAGGTCAGGTTTGACCTACTGTCTGTAATAGAGGGGCTTGACTTATGCTTAAAGTTAGCCTGAAGGAAACTACGGGGAGAAAGAGGGAGGTAAGGTAGAGAAAGAGACAAAAGACTGTCAGAAGATAGTCTGAGCCTCAGATGGGCCGCCCACAGACTATAGGGAGACCACACTGGAAGAAGACACAGGATTGAGAAAGTCTGAGATGATTTTGGCACTGAATATTTATTCAAACGTGAAGTTTGAGTAAGCTGAAGACATTCTAGCCATTGTTTGAGCAAACTAGCATTAGCATTGACATTTTATGTGTCAGATATTAGGCCCATTTCTCTCTAGGTGGTGGTTCTTTGGCATAACCGTGACGATATGTACCTGACTTTGTCAATACTCAAAAATTTGGCTCGTCTGAGGATAAGTATGAGGTTTATATAACCATTGTTTGAAACTTTGCCACATCTCAGCTTGTGGCCCGTTTGCCCTTTTCTGCATTACATGGAGGTGTGAAGCTGTTAATGTGCTTTTAGATGACTCGGATATTGGCGGTGGGAGGGATGTTCAGGTAAAGCTCACCTGTGTGCGAGCGAAGATGGCGTTTGAGCGCCGTGTGGCTCGGGAAGGTGCGCTCGCACTCGCTGCAGACGTAGCTGCGCATGCCGGCGTGAATCTCCATGTGCTGCTGCAAAGCCTTCTGGGTCTGGAAACGCTTCCCACATAGGAGACAAAACACTGCCATGTCTGAGCCTTAAGATGAGAGACAAAACGAGAGGGGGTTTAATTAGTGTTTAGTGCAAAGAATGCAGAATTTGGATTTCATCCATTTTGTTGTTAAGTACATTTTAGCAAAATGAATGAATAAGTCTATGTGTTTCATAATGGATGGGGTTGAAGAGACTTAAATGTATCGTCTTAGTTTCTCTTTTCTCCACAACAAAAAAAAACAGTGCTTTCAGTATCTATGGCCAATCAATAATGTATCTTTCAAGTAAAGCTGTCTCTAATTTAAAATCTTTGTGAAAGCCCAGTGTTGGGCTCGTGAACAGCAGGCTGGGATTGACTTCTCACTCAATCAATCAGCATTTACGACAGAGCTCAGAGTAAAAAAAAAGCATTAGTGCCTGAGACACATAAAAATGAACCTCTACACTTCACTGACAGCTCGTCTGTAATGTGAGTTTGGTGTAAATGTACTTAGACAAGTTGCCCGATTTCTCTTCCATTCTCTCCAAGTTTAAGAGCCGACATTGATTACGAAGGGCCATTCAGGGGCCGGGAGAAGACATTCAACCTTGAAAACTTCTTGAGTAAGATCAACGATACAAAAGAAACAAGTTTTAGGACTATTGTTATTTAAAAAAGAAAGAAATTTGCAAGGATGTAAAAAGAAAAAGAAACATTTCAGATTCTGCAGTTTTTCTAGGTCACTAATCAAATGTAATGATCATGAACTCCTTTGTAAACATGGCAAGATGTTCTTGGTTTGATAAAATAAAATAAAGTTATAATAATTATATAATAATTATTATTATTATTTGAAATACTTAAATTCATGACTATTTTTCAGGTGTCCTAGCAGGTTGTTATGCTGAAATTATCATTTGAAATGTATTCAATAAAAAAAGAATGCAAAAAGGAAGCAGTTTCATGGTCTCTTTTGCATGCCAGTCTAGCTTGAGGATAACAAAAAAAGCAGAAGAAAACCATTCAAGGCAAACCTCGCTGTGAAATACTGCAGAAATACAAATGATGACACATTCTTGAGCTTCATTATATCAGACGCATAACAGATATTTGTGTTGTCAGCTCTTTTCAGAAGAAAAAAATAACCGAGGCAATCCAGCACGGGCATAAATATATGAGACGACTGTGGTAAAGAAAGAGAAAGCACGAGGGGAAGAGAGAGAGGGAGCTTAGCTTCACTACTGTTTAATGTCTTTAGGAATAATTTACCTCTACAACTCCAACTATTTATACCATCACTCAGCTCCTCTGAGAGCATCCCCCTGCTTCTATTTTTCCTCATTCTTCTCTCTCTCTCTGTCTCCTTCTGTCTCCCTCGTTCTCTGTGTCTAGCTCCCAGCAGAGCTTTAATGGTTCTGAAGTGGCTGACAGAGTAGCTTAAGCCGGGTGAATAGGGCTGTTAATGGAGCCAGCTCCTCTCTCAGAGTGAGTGTCAGAAACTCGGCTCTCCTCAGCAGCTGCTCTGCTCTGTTTCCCACAGACTGCAGAGCTGCCCGCTACCCACACTACACCTCATCCAGATGCACAACAGGAGAAAGAGCTGTGTCACTCGCTACTCCAGTACGTCAAAATGATGAGAAGATTATAAAACAGTATGTGTTTTTCAACATAAAGACATCAGGGTTGGGCAAAATACAGAATTTAATCATCGTGTCACTTTCAGTTCATGAATGGGAATGTGAACTGCACTGCCCACATGCTATACCATTCTGAATTGGAATTTCAATTGGAAATACAGGAAGAAGAATTTAGTAAAATGCAGTAATACAGTTACGACAAGGGAATTTCATTAGTTTTAACATGTTTTGTGATTAAAAAGTAACATGTTTTCCAAAAAAATATTAAATAGCATGACTATTTTCAACTTTGATAATAAAAAAAATTTTTTTTGACCAGCGAACCAGCATATTAATATAATTTCTGCAGGATCATGTGACAATGAAGACTGGAGTAATGATGCTGAAAATTAAGCTTTTCATCACAGGAAGAAATTACATTTTAAAATATATTCAAATAGAAAGCAGTAATTTAAAATTGTAATATTATTTCATAATATGACTGTATTTTTGATCAAATAAATGCAGCCTTGGTGAACATATAAGAGTGAACATATAAGAGACTTGCTTCAAAAACATTGCACAATCCTACCAACCCCCAACTTTTGAACAGTAGTATACATATAAAATAAACATAAAAACTTTTTGGATTACGTTAAATAATAAGAAAACCAGATATAATGCATTTTTTTCATAAATACAGCCTTCAGACTAATCAGAATCAAGTATTCCAGAGAGCCGTGTAATAACTCATGAATTTCTGTAAAAAAATGTTTTATATCTCTGCTTTTAAATCTAACATAAGATAATATATACTGTATGCTATGATATGACACATATGGGCTTTCAGAGATGAAGAAAGGATAAAATGGAGGGTAAAAGTTGAAGTTGGGAGGTTTGGCTCATTGTGTGGTGCATGTGAGTGGGGTCAGAGGTCAGGAGCGCAGAAGGCAGATGTGAGACGTGAGAAAGGACCCACCTGTCCCAGAATGCAATGACGAGAAAACAAAAACATCATTGAACGCTGTAAAATAATCTCCAGATGAGATTGAGTTGAGATGTTTCTTACATAAATTCTGATTATACTGTTGTGTGGATGTAAATAATTTAGTACAAACAGGTAACTCCATGTAATTTTTGCCAGTTTTGCCAAAAAAAATAATTCAAACGCTCCAGTTAATACTTAAAAACGCTCAAGTTAGTTTATTACTCAGGCTTAATCTTGATTAAAAGTAATGGCAATGCAAGCCAACACCACTAATGAAGAAAAACTCATCATCTATTAACCATTTGGTCTAGACATGGAGCTCAAAAGGCCATGAAGGCATGTTTTTCTCTGTTGTGTCTAGGATATTCCTTTAGCCCTGCTTATGTAGAATTAATGAAGATACACTCTCTTGAAGATAACACATTAATCGTAAAGCACGCTTTAAAAATTCATATAAAGCACCGGCTCCTATTTCACATGCAGAGCCAGAGCCACCTTCCCACATCACACCTGAACTTTAATGTCAAAACTTCGTTTAAACAGATTAAACGGCATTATCCGGCAGAGAACATCTTCGCCTCTTAAAACGAAAATACACAAGCAGCCGAGACTGCCTGTTCTGGCCCAATATCATTTACAATGGAGAGAGAGGCTGCATGCATCTCGACGATTCTTACAAATCCCCTTTAATCAGATATGAGAGGAACAGAGACGAGAGCGCGGGGGGAGGATGAGCATTAGTAAACACGAGGCTGTTCGGTGCTTCATTGGCATTCGAGTGGGGTTAGAGTGCTGCATTTAAAATGCTGCCTGATGAGGACTACAAAATCAAACCATTTGTTACCACTATTGAGGAGCCTGCAGGCAACAGGCAATTAAATTGGAATTAGTGCAGGGAGATCAGATACAGATGATTCACACACAGAGAGGGGGAGCTGTCAAAGCCCGAGTTTCATTTCGTTTGCACACACACACACACACACACACATATACAGTACACTACCGTTCAAAAGTTTGGGATCGTTAAGATTTTTAATGTTTTTTACTGAAGTTTCTTCTGCTCATCAAGGCTGTATTTGTTTGATTAAAAATACAGAAGAAACCCTGTAATTTTGTGAAATATTATTGCAATTTAAAATAACATTTTCTATTTTAATATGCTTTAAAATATAATTTATTCCTGTGATACA